ACTGATTGCAACCTGCACCTCTTCCCCCGGCCGCCCACTTCCCCATCCCACCACTAGTTTCCCTCCAACCACCTATTCTCCCCATCCAGTCACCAATTTACTTATATATGTGCCCAGGTTTCCTCTTCCAACCATCCGCCACCTACCATCCTACTCCGTCCAAGTAGGAAATTAGTGTTTTGTTGATTTTTTTTCCTATTTTCTGAGTGCCTGATTGCAACCCCATTGATTTGTAATAAAATCTATTTTCCTATTATATTTTTTGGTTATCTCTGGTATTAGAAGTTCTCTGATCATGCATCTTGTTATTGAAGACTGAGGGAAAATTAATTTAATAAACTATCATAAGGCTTAATACTTCATTCATTGTAAGAATTACGAGCGAGCATATGGAAAGTCCAAAATAAAAGCATAGAAGGTTGTCATGCAAAATTTTCAGCTTATCAGAAAGGCTTCTGAAAAAAAAAGGTTTTATTTGTGCAAAAATAAGCATTTAAGTGCTCTTAGATAGCAATTATAATTGGTTCAATTGACTAAATAGGTCAAATTTTGGATATTGTACAAATTTCTTTTTTTCTTAATTTCCAATTACTTAATTATGATTTTTGATTGGGAAAATCTTATTGTCATCCATATTGCAATCAATCTTAAGTTCCAATAAAGAACCAAACATATTGAGGTTGACTGTCATTTCATTTAGGATATTTTCTTTCTAAAAAATAGTCTCCCATCACATCTATAGTTCACAACAAGTTGTCAATATATTTATAAATAATATAGGCCCCACACCTCTTAATTATGTAACAAGATAGAGCTAACTGATTATATATATATATATATATATAATTTAATTATTTTGAGTCAAAACATGTCTAGCACGAACATATATATGGCGGAAGCGGGAGGCTTTACTAGGGTTTCGCCCCACGGCAAATCCTAGCCTCTGCTATGGTATTTTCATGCTGGATGAAGAAGAAGGTTTCGCTCCTCCGTTTCGTCTTCCACCATCTTCGTCTGTTTCGTAGAGTTTCATCGAGTTGTGCCTTTGTGCTCGTTGCTCGCTGAGGGATGAGTTGTAGGGCCAAACGCGGCTCTTCTTCTGTGGCTTTCTGTGGCTTCCCCCCGATTGCGGTTTTCCCGTCTTCTGCGGCTTCGACCCGACGTATCCAAACAAAACTAAAGGGCTCGCGTGTTTGGCGCGTCTCATTCTCTGGCTCGGTTTCTACGGGCGTTCTGCTTCGCCCTCTGCTCAACTTGGCAGAGGTTACAATTGATTCCCTTCCGAATTTCGCCTTCCGTCCACTGCAAATTCGTTGTGCCTCCCCTTTATGTTGATGGCTTCGGGCAGATAGTATGCTAATGCCCTTACGGGTGTCCATGTCTCAGGCACTCCTAAATCGTGTTTTTTCCCTCATTCGTTTCAGTTTGCGAAAGACATCAAGAAACCTGATAGGACGAATGGGAAGTCTGTCATCTTTTTTACATCAGTTGAATGTAATCAACTTGTTTCCTCCCGTCGTCTGAATTTTGTCAAGAAATTTCTTTATAGTCATCCCAAAATGGAGCTTATTCGCAAGAAATTTAAGCTTATGCATCTTGTTGGTGAGTGAAAAATTGGAGTTTTATATGGAAGACACATTCTTATTCAACTTAATAACGAAAAAGAATACACACAATTATTTGCTAGAAGAGTAATCTTGATTGATAACAAAACAATGAAGGTTTTGAAATGATTGATGGATTTTGACTCACAGACGGAACCAATAATCATTCTGGTCAAGGTTTGGATTCGCCTCCCTGGTCTTAAGTTTCATTATTTTACTCAAAAAGTGTTATACTCTATTGCCTCAACTTATGATAAGTCACTCAAAACGAACAATCCTACTTTTAATCTTTCCCGTCCATCTGAAGTTAGAGTACTCGATGAAAGGGACACCGCTTCAATTTCTTCTGAGGAAATTTGATTAGTTACACAACACCATGGATATTGGAAAAATGTTATAATTGAGTTTTTCCGTTCGTATTGTTCGAAATGTCGTATGTTTGACCACTCTGTTTCACAATGTCATCATCTACACCCCCACCTCAGACCAAAGAAGCAAAGTGATCTGTCAGAGGTAGTGATTCTCCCTCCTCCTGGTCTGCTCCAAGCTATCGACAGTATTGATCATCAAAAGAGTACCCCAGAAGATGTAACTATCCTCGCAGACACCATTTAGTCTCCACAGAATGTTGTAGTTTCCCCGTCTTTGGAACCTCCCTTCGTGGGAGCGAGGGAGAAATTTCAGACTTCAGTTGCCCTAGAACCTATTACTGATGTTACAGGTGGCAATATTGTTACTGTTTCTCTACCATCTTATCAAGTCGAACAAGATGTTAATGTTACTCAAGCGTATGGAGTTCGTGATGTGCAACAGTCTACACCTATCTGATCACATTTAAACCAATCCACTAATCAAATGAGTCAATTCTCGGATGAAGAATGACAGGTCTACACATCCATAAGGAAGAAGAATAATGGAGACCTACTTGAGCTCAAAAATTTGGTAGATGATACTTTGGTTATTTCGGGTAATGGTATGCAACCCACCAATATTTTAGATGACTCCCTTTCGAGAACTCGAGGCAGAGGCAGAACTAAACTGAGTCGTCGCTACCTTTTTGCGCGCGTTGGTTGTTTTTTATTTTTTTGATCTTATATGTATCTTCTCTTTTTTTGGGATTTTGTGTGTGTTGTATCATCTAGGTTAACTGGCTTCTGTTAGGCCTACTCATACAACCTATTTGTATCTTTTACTCTTTAACATATTAGCCCTTGGGTTTTTTCTATATATATATATATATGGGTCATTTAGTGAATAATACGAAAGAAAGATATTTCCTCTCCAACAGACAAAATCAACAAGAACTTCAACACTATATGCTTAGCCAAAGGCAATTGGCTACCATAAACTATCTTCTACTACTCACCAATCATTATCTTCATAGTTGCTACTCGAAAAACAAAGCCACTCAATTTTGTCTTGGCAGTCACCACCTCTAACAATTGCTATTGATTGCTTAATAGTGATGCATCAGTCTTTCCAAGCTCCGCCGACCAACTTATCAAATCAAAACCAACTTTTTTCTTTATTATTATTTTTTATTTCTCATATAAAGAACCAAGAGAGATTTCCTCACAATTCCCAATCAAACAAGCCTATACCCTTGTAGAGCTTTTTATAGGAGACAAGGGTGGTAGCAGCAAATCTATTCAAAAATTTAAATAAATAAAATTATTTATCAGCACGGATTATGGAATTGAGTTTGTTAAACTATAAATACAAAATTGACCAAGTTAAAGTAATTGAAACTGATCCCTAATTTGTTTATCTCAAATTAGCAGGAAAGTGGAAAGTATGGCTCATAGATTGGAGACACTTATTAATTCAACTAACCGTGCCTGAGGACTACACTGAGATTTTTTTCCAAAAAATATCTAAACATTGCTGGTAAACCAATGAAGCTACTCAAGTAGTCTTCTGATTTTGACCCCAAGCGCGAATCTCCTACTGTATCGGTATGGTTTAGTCTACCTAATCTCAAGCTGCACTTTTTTCATCATTAGGTTCTTTACTCTATTGGTGGCATACTTGGGGACCCTTTGAAGCTAGATCTACCCACTTTTAACCTAACCAGACCTTCTGTGGTCAGAATACTAGTTGAAAGAGATATTACTTTACCTGATGTTACTGAAGTCTGGTTGAGCATAACTCACTATGTAATATTAGCAACAAATTGTTATGGAGCATAGTCCTCCTTATTATTCTCATTGTAAGATGTTTGGGCACAACCTTGATAAATGTTATAAGCTTCACCCTAATTTGAAATTTAAAGATCAAGTGAATAAGAATGAATCTAACCCCACTGCTTTAGACATATCTGTTTCATCTAGAGAAACTACCACAGAACAGGTTATGTTGTCTGATTTAACGCCCCTGTGGATCCTCCCCCTGAAAATACTATTTTTGCGATCGATGAGAAGTTAGATGGCTCTGTTGAGCAACCTACACTTTCAAACCCTCCTCAGCTGCAGGATGCATTAGGTGAAGAGGAGACATTTCATGCTTCACACACACTTGAGCCTACAGTCGTTGCAATAGTTGACAATCCTTCTTCTGGTGCTCATCAGCTTTGATCTGCCCGACGTTCTATTTACCAACACGATGATCAAATGAGTCAGTCTTCTGAGGAGGAATGACAGGTCTATTCAAGGAGGAAAAAGAAGATTGGAGGCAAACTTCAGCTTGGGAACCTAATGGATGATATTTTGGTTACTTCGGGAAATGGCTCGGCGGCACCCATCAATTTGTTATCTGGATCTCGCCTTAGAACTAGAGGCAGAGGCAGGACTAAAATGGCTCGTCCCTAACTACTTTTTTTCTGCGATTTTGGTATCTTTCCTTTTTTTTTTTGGGTTTCTCAGTATCTTATTCTCTTTTGGGGTGTTTGTGTGTGTTGTATCGTATGGGTAGGGTTCCTCTATTGAGCCCTCTCATACAACAATGTATCTTTCCTCTCTCTCTCTCTCTCTCTCTCTCTCTATATATATATATATATATATATATATATATACACCTAAACTTCAATTTTTACATTCATGCAACCTTACTTATGCATGAAAAGATAAATTTAACTTTTTAAATGTAAAAACGGTTGTATTTTTAATGTAATAGGAAACATTTTAGTCGTATAAATATAAAAATTAAATATAAAAAGTAAAGTTTAAGCATTAGATGTGTTAATATATAGCAATTGAGTGGTATGTACGAAAATGTCTCAATAAAAAAAAAGACACCTGGCAGGTGCAAATCATACTAGAAAACAACTTTTATTATTATATAAAGATTCCACGAGTTTGACCTAGTAAGCCCAGAGAATAAAACACCAGCCCAAAGCAAAATCCTGACATCTAAATCACGCACTCCAGCAATGGCACCACACTCATCAAGATAGCATACCTTGTAGACAAGCCCAGCACAACTAAGCTTGGTGCTGAATCCATGTCCAAAAACCTCAGTGAAACCTTTCTGGTGGTGATCAAAACGATCATGACTAGGATCATACACACCTCCAACATCAAGCACGGCATCCAATGAATCCAGTACCTGGAGATTATTTTCCAAAATAGTCATGGAAGGGAAAGTGTAAAGAAGATTTCAAACTTTTGTTGGTATAATTTTGCTGTCTAAAGAGGAACAGAAGAAATGTCTTAAAAATGCAAAACTAGTTGAAAGCTCAAAATGCACGAAACTATAAGAAACGAACATTGTGAAGAGAAAGGTGTGTGCAAGAGAACGGCGAAAGAAAAACAAACCAAACCACTGCTTAGACACAACCACATTTTGCGTAAGCACATATTTTGATGCTTCTCCTTCATTGACAAATATTTACTTGTCTGTGCTACTAACTCTAACCTGAAACTTTATTCAAATTGCAGCACAGGGGAAAGGCAGACCAATTATACACAAGCAAACTTTATGCTACCCACTCCAAAGCAAGGCAAGTTAAAGCATCAAGTTTAATCTTGAGGAAGATTTACTTACATACCACTCCATTCTTATGTATTTACATATCTAACAGCTAACTTTTAACTTTTACATATATGCCACATTACTTATGCATGAAAAGGTGTACTTTAACTTTTAAAGTTAAAATAGTGGTATTTTCAATGTGATATACAAATTTAGTTGGTATGAATGTAAAAAGTAAAGTTTAGGGGTTAGATATATAAATGCATAGGAATTGGGTGGTATGTATGTTAATGCCCATCATTTTAAATCAAGAAAAACAACTTACAAAAAATGCTGCAGAACTGTAGTGCATGCCCTCCCTTTTTCTCGCGTTGTTACAAAGGACTCTTGCGTCATGCACCTATTGTATTGTGTAATTGCTAATACTACTTCTTCCACACTTCTTTTGGAGCTATTTTCCATTCCATTTCAACGCCAAAAGTTGGAGATTTTGAAGTGGTTTGTTGTTGTTGATGTTATTGATTTGACCTTAGCACGTGGAATTTTTGAAACCTGAATACTACCGCAATTTTAATTTTGAATGAACTAGAATCAAATCAGGCTAATTTTGTACCAAACCTATCTGCTAGGATCCACAACTTTGATTCAATAGAAATTTCTCTTCCAATTTTCAATCTTACATGTGCAAGTTGGATGTGTGATATTCTTGGGTGCAACACAAAGACATCTAATTATAAGGAAAGCCATCTTCTTAAGAGCTGAACCAAGTTATGTCCAGCATATGCAATTGCCCACACTAGAATTTGAGTTTTCTCTATATAAGTAGTAAAATTTAATAAAATCTTTTTATATAATTTAAGCAACCTAGTAATTACCCAAACCACCCCTCACAGATTATATTTTTTTGTCCACTACTTACAAGAAAAAAAAAAACATTTGGTGATTTGCCTACTCTAAAAAATAAAACTGGTTCTGCCAATACATACTAGTGTAATGTGTGAATTTCATACTCAACTTCTATTCTTGATCCAATTTTATTGAAGAATTTGTTATTTCTTTGTTAGTGCTCGTAATTTATTCAATTTGACAAAACAAATATTCTTTTTTTAGTGATTAAATTGCAAATACTCGTTAATTTTATGTGGTTTAAATTTCTTATTTGTTTCTTCAAGCTTGTATGGTCGTTATCATTTAATCAAATTCCAGTATTTATTATCTATATTTAAAAAATTTAAATTGTTGGCTTATTTAGTAGTTTATAATCCATGAATCTTACATTTTCTTACATAATCTACAAGCAACTCATCATTCCAGTTATATTGGAAGAATCCTAAACTATCCTGAATTAAAAGTCGTAAAGCCCCTTGTTGATAAACCTATCTTTGCTTTTCCATGCTACTGATCCTTAGTTCCATTTTTTACTCAAACTCTTACAACCATGACACACTATTAATCAATTTAAAGGGTTACGATGTGTTATACCTAACATGAGATTGAACTTAACTAACTAATTAAGTCCAACTCAAGCTCAATTCAATGAGAGTTGAGTAGGCTCACAAGTCAGCTTATTTACTATAAAGGATAAAAGACTACTCAAATCAACCAATTTTCATAATGAAAATCAGTTGAGATAAAGAGGGCGGAAAGATTTTTTAAATATTTTGAATAGCTTGGCACTTAAATCCGTGAATTATATAATATCTTAAGAGCACTCTAGATGATAATTTTAAAATAACTAGCTCATTAACTAAAAATTCTAGTTGGCATTGTTCAAATTTGAATCATTAGCTCATCGAACTTGGCCCGTGACCCATTTATCATCTTAAGTTCAAGCTAGCTCATGATTTTGCTTGAGCCGATTATGCCCTGTTCTATTATGCTCTCCTTTACCCATTGTCTTTCCAAGTTGAACCAAGAACTAAAAAATATGTAAGATGATTAATTCCATCACTACTTTATGGTTCCAACCTTCTACCAATACTATAATATTCTATTTATGTTGTCTAAATTTTTATGAATCAATGTATACTCTTCTATGTTTATTAAACAAGGAAATATGAAAAATAGTTATTACGGTGATTAGTCCCATCCATATTTTATATTGACGATGCAACTCGATTCATTTCTGTTTGCTACTTCAGGAAAATGACGCCATTCATTGGGTTAATACTTATTGTTCTCATTAATATATTTTACACAAAGAACCAAATCTTCAAGAGCTCAAATTCTATGTTTTCACCTTCACTTATGAATTTATCTTCTTTCCTCCCACAAGAAAAAAAAAATCTTATTTGCATGCATTTAGTGCAAAAGATGGCAGTTTCACAGATTCAGAATTGGTCCAAAATTCCTCCAACCAATGATCACATACCTAAACTTTTCAGAAAAATGTTGAGATAAGCCGAGCAGAAAACAAGAGAATACCCAAAATACAACAGGTCAACGTTCAGAAGCAAGCCAGAATGTTGACCCAACAAATAAATAGTGACTGGAAACAGTAATTGATCCCAGCATGTCATTAGAATCACTTCGCAAGATGAGACAAGTACAGGTGAATCAAAATTAACAACAATAAAGTAGTTGCCTTCATATTAATAATTTTATGACAGTATAATCTTCAATGAAATGCATCAAAATTCACTTCTCCAAAAATTCCATTCCCTTATAAGGGCTTATTTGATTTCTCGTAGATAGGAAACATAATTTGACTCCATTTTCAATTATTTTGTAAATGGGAAAGGAAATTGATCATTTTCTGTATTTTTTAGAGTTTAAAACCAACATCGATTGCTAACTGCATCTAATCAAAGAATGGAATTTAGGGCTCATTTGAATGATCCTGTTTTCACTTATTTAAAAAAAATTATCAGTTTGGAGAAAAATCTTGAGAAAGTTTGTAGAATTCGAAATACACGTTGGTGTTTAACTACATGTAATCTAATCAAATAATAAATTTAACAACCTTCATTGTTCTTCAAAACATGATTTCTAATTCAAAGCAACCAAATAAATCCTCAATAAATTCATCATCCTAGTTCCAATCGGTCAAATGAACCCTAACACAAATAAGGCTTGCAGAAGGCCATTAGGAAATATGGAACATCAAATACAAGAGAAATGAACGAAAGGAAACGAGCAAAAGCAAGGAAATACTTCAGCATCTCTGGTTCGGACGATCTCTGCGCCGGCAAACTTATTGGTGAGACGGATCATAAAGCAGCCGAGAGCTTCATCGCAGTGGAAGCTACCATTGTGGGTTCCTATTCGTCTGACTGCGCAAGGGTTTGAGGAGCTTGTGGAGAAGTCCGAAACCCTAAGGCGTTTCGGAGCAGCAGCGGCTGCAGCCATGGAGGAGAAGCAGCTCCGTGCCTGTAAAAGCACCAGTTTCGGCCACCACCAGCCCCGACGAGCAAGCATGTCCCTCCAGCCTTTTTAAGCCGCGAGGTAGGCTCGTAATAGTTCTTATAATTTCACTGATTTTGTTTACAAATTTAGATTTAATAAATTTTGAAAATTTAAAATGCTAATAATTACTCTTATCGAAGTTAGTAAGTCATAAAGAAATCTAGATAAGTATTAGACTATTTACTTCATATAAAGTTAATAAATCATAAACAATAAATTATATTTAATTATTTAAATTTGAAAATATCTTTTGCACTCTATACACTTCGCTACTGTCATCACACCAACTTGGTCGAACCATATTCAAAAATATTAGAATCTTGATCAATTCATGTTCAAAGTTAGTTTTAATTCTGTTCTTACTGTCGAACAAAGTTCAAATAATGTTTGAAGAAGATTCAATCAAGATTTGATCATGACTCAAATATGGTTCGAAGATGATTCAAATAAGATTCAGTCGATATTCAAGTATACATCGAATATTATTTAAAAATACTAAAACAACATTTGTAAATGGTTTAACGTGGTTCAAACAAGTTTGAACATAATTTGAACAATGTTTAATTAATATTTGAATAAGGTTTAAATATTATTTGACATAACTTGATCGTGATTTAGAGATAGCCCACTTTGTGCTATTTTTTCACTACGATCTCTTTGGAATTACCACAATTGATTCATTGTTTTTGTCTATGAAGATATTTGCTCTAATTATATATGTTGTGGGGCATTATATTGCTTGAATTATGTATAGAGTTTGGGGTGTGATTGAGAAGATTGTTAAACAATTTGAGAATTATACCATTGTTAATGCCTAAATTCCAACTCTCAAGTATCATGAATTGTATTGCTCTAGGGTACGATGGTTATTATTAAGGATGGTTGGTGATAATGAGAGTGAATGCTACTTTAGTATGCTAAATATTAGAGACAAAGATACTATATTTGACATAGATGAACTTTCGCATAGCACTAAATTAGGGTTTGGAGAATCCCCACCTAAGGAGAGATTCAATAAGATGAGTGAAAAAAGTAGCCTCTTAGATAACTACTTGAGTGGAGACAAATAAAAAAAAAAAGAAGAAGACATTCCTGAAAAAGGCATATTTTGAGAAATGAAATATAATGTCTGAATACTTATTTTATTTTTCTTTAAATGTAGTTATCCTCAACCATTTTAAGCACATTATCATTTTTGTTGTGATTTTTTAAATATTTTAAGCCGAGGTGATTGTTTTAAGTACTTATGGGATAAGACATCAAAAGGGTAGACACTAAAGAGACTGAAAATGAACAAGGTGTTTTATAACTCCACCACATTGAAGAAAAATGTTCAAAGCTAATGTATTATAATTAGATTTGTCATATTATTAATTATTATAGTGCTAAGCTTACCATGTTCTCCCACAACAGTAGAGGTGTTGTGTTAATTTTTTTTGGGAGAGGACATCAAAAATATTAAGATCGAAGTGCAATAAGGTGCTCATAGATAAAATTTTGTTATCATTGCTAATGAATAAAAATTAAATATTTATCATTATCGTAAATTAAGCAAAACATTTTTATTTATGTGGTGGGTTATTAACTTGGAACTTATTTCTTACTAAAATTGTTCATTATATGCTAGTACATAGAGTTTATAAGGATGAGTGCTATAAGTTTGTTGTATATACTTCTACTAAGTCTATTTCAGCAAGAATTATAAAATGGAATTTGAGCGCACCCATTTTTTGAGAGGAAAGCAAGAGCATGATTATCTATAAGTCAATATATGCCCTCCTATGAAAATTTAGCTATTTTTGTTGTTGTATAAGAGTTAAGGAGTTTCCAATTAGGTTAAATAATAATTAAATAAGGTTGGAGTATATATTGAATGTTCTCACCAATTTTGTACATAAAATGAGAAGAAGAAAGAGGAGAGTGGGACGATATCTACTAATAAATTGATCGTTCAAATATTGATGTTTGAGATGAGGTGCAAAAAAAAGAATTGGATGGATTAGGAGATAGAGTTGGAGGTGGATCAAGAGGACATAAATGCTCTATCTTTTTAAATTGAGGAGGCAAGGGATGCTAGTCTAACTCTTGACATTATACATATTAGTGATGCACATTTATTAAAACTAAAAATTTGGTTAATTGATAATGACTTTTAAGCACATAGGAGTAAGTTCAATTTTCTACTTAATTTTGTCGTTTACTTAATATTAAATGATTTGGATTAATCTGTTAAGAAATTAATTTTATAGATGGTTAGTGGATGATAATTATAATACTTACACAAAAGTAAATTGAAACAAGCATTTGAAGCAGTTTTCACAATTTAGCTACATTGTTCATATATATTTAAAAGGTTTGTGAAATAGATCCAATCAAATATAAATATTTCAATCAATTTTTTAGATATAAAAATTACTTCTTATTTAATTTGAAAAATTTTTTAAGCCATATAAACTCATATTTCATTAATTGCATAATCAATGTTGTTCGATACAACGAGACTAATATACAATGAGGCTAGAATCATGAGATCTGAACCACATTTGGATATTCTTAAGTCACGAGTCCTGCTATATCGATCAAGCTTCATCGTTATGTGCAACCAAGCAAGGTGTACTGGATTAGGCATTGTTCACCAGTGTGAATTCTAATCAAATCTTTTCAACCACTACATCCCATAAAAGGACTGCATTCTACATAATTGAATCACAATCAATTAGATTGACATTTTCTAAAACTTGCAAAACAACATTGCTGTCTTTTCACCAATCATATAGCTTGGATGGATTTTTTTTTTTCAAAATTATCACTTTAGATATGCTATGAATTTACATACGGTTAAAGGCATTTGATTCCTTTTATTGTGACAAAGAAGTGATGCATCATATCAAACAACATAATGAAACAGTTTCAATAAGAATGAGCGCTTTGGCTCTTTTCTTCTAGAAATTTTCACATAAAAATTATGTTCATCTCTGCATAATTATGTTTTTAATTGATCTCCACAATTGGGCAGTAGAAACTTTTACAAGGGCCATAGTTTAGTTTTTTTTAATCTCCGATCACATCACTTCAAAGTTAGGAGATGTAATTTCATGGTTTAGATCCGGTTCGATCATTTAAACACTTAATATTACACTCACAATACTTCTTTTAACGAAGTGGTACATCTATCCCAAGATTTTAGACAACAATCTACACAATATTATCAAATTGAACCCTAATCATCACAAGAATATACATATTGAGCAACTTTGCCTGCTCAACCCTCTCTACATTAGTCTACCTTCAACAAATTGACATGAAAATAAGGAACAGGACGAAACATTTTCTAGCAGTGCCTCTCCTCTCATTAACTCGCTAAATATAAAAAGAATATTTACATACATAACATTTAATTCCTACGTATTTACATATCTTACATATACATGAAAAGGTGTATTCAGCTTTTAATGGTTAAAATGGTGGTACTTTTATGTGATATGAAGGATTTGAGTGATATATGTATGAAAACAAAGTTAAGGTGTCCGATATGCAAATACACAATAATTGGGTGGTAAGTATCTGAATGACCAAATATAATAACTAGTTAAACCCTGGAGGCAGATCAGTGTCATCATCAACTTCACCACTGCCGCCACCGCCGCCGCCGCTTGAGCCGAAACCACATTCCACATCTTCAATTGGTTTCAGTAACTCCTGTGGATTTTGAATCAAGCCTGCTCTCTGCTCATTCTCCTGTAGATCTGAATTTTTAGATTCGCCATTATCGGCATCACCGGAACCAAAACCTGGGGGTTCATATGTTTTATTTGAATTTGAAATATTTGCTTCGCTTGCTGGAGTTATTATTGAGGTTTTAATGATGCCATTAGCTTCCCTTCCGATGATTTGATTTTCTTGGGTGGGAGAGGGATTAGAACCTAAACTCGTTTGGGGCATAGGGTTTACCATTTTGTTGATAACGTGTTCTACAGTGCCTTTGATATCATCCTTTATGCTCTCATTTAGTCGGATGGTCTTCCATATTTCATCAGAGATCTGACCTGTGATTTTCCTCCTGAAATGTTTTAAGTGGGAAAAATTGAAATTGTTGAAATCTAAATGCAAAAGAAGAAAAATAATAACATGAAATATAAAAAATAACTGATATTTATTTTGCTTGCTGATATTTTGAAAGTCTAAGATCAAATTTAACAATAATTGTATTGGCTTTAGAGATCACTACAAAGAAAATGCAAAATGAGGCATCTTGATATATGTTTCCTGTAAATGACCGTTTAATTAACAAGAAATTCACCAAATAAATGAAAGAAATAATAATGGAGAAAATACTTTAAAAATAAATGATTTAGAACTAATCGAACTAAAAACTGAATATATGTTGCATACTTTTAGTAGGTATGATATTAACAATTACTAATAAATATTATTAGAGGATTAATAAACTAGGTGTGATTAGTTAAGTACCTTGGATCAATTATATAGAATAATGTAAATATAAATAACAATTTAACATCTAATTATTAAATATTAAGATGATATCCTAAGGATTTGGAGGGTAAACTTTATGAAACTATAATTAATTTGATATGAATCTAACTGTTTGGCAATAAGAAAGTAATTGATATTTAATTGAGTTTGACCAAGAAATAAAATTAAAATTGATGTGTGACTAAACTAGAGAGTAAAAATAAAAGAATGGTTATATTTAAAAAAATGATTGACGCAGGTGATTGAAAATAAAATAAAGTGATTCGAACATGCCAACAAAAGGTGAAAAATCACCTAATATACAAAAAATATAGAATTAGCGTTGGAGTAGGAAAAATAAGGAACAAAACTATGATAACACGGACATAAATTGTTAAAAATGATTTACAAAGAGATTTTAACATCTAAGACAGTAGTCAAGAAGAAAACATAAAAAATGAGAACTTAAAAAGTCGTCCTCAACTATTTGGCATAAAACTACTGATGATTTATTTGATATGGGCAATTAGATGATCAGTTAGATTGATTAGACAAGAAAATTTGGTTTATTATATGAGTACATCAAGAAAAGAAATGTTCATTAAAATACACAGTTAAAACTTTGCACGTACCCAAGCTCTTCGTAAATAGCATCTGAAAGCTGTCTTGGTTTCATGTCCTCAGATCCATCTTTGTTGAGAATATCAGACCGTTTAACCTGGTCTATGATGCTTTTGCGTAGCTCTTCCTGCATTAAAAAAAAAAATTTCACTTCACAAAATTGGTCTCCACATCACTTTAAAGCACTTTCATAGAGACCGCCTAAGGCAAAACAAGACTTAGTATTTTCAAAATGAGATGCATGTATGAAGTCAAAACCTAATACTAACTAAACCACAAGGGAAAAAAACCCATCAAAGAGAATTGAAGAGTGAAAATAAAACTCCATTGACAGTAAAATAATGATACGATGCTAAATAGAAAACTAAATATCTAATATCGAAAATGGCAAGTTGTGCTGTCATGCTTCTTCTTCATCATGTCATAATATAGTAAACATTGTTGAGTTCCAAATTGAACGAGTTCACTCGTATGAGAGCTCACAATTACCATCCCTGGCTTAACCTTTTAGTTAACATATTGTAAGTATCATCTTGACCTCTAACTATAAGTATCACTGGGCATGTTGATATGGCTAGGCCATATTCTATTTGTAGCACTAGAGTTGTCGTGAAATTTGTTTCTATTGATTAGTCTGTCCCTCAGTATAACAAATAACAAACTGCCATTGTTGCAATCCCTTCATTTATTGTCCAATATTTTTTGTGGCAACCATCAAATTTTATTTTTAAAAATTTATTACTATTATTGTTGTAGTTGTTATTAACATGCAACAAACTCTTTTAATATCATTGTTGCTATCCCCAGACCAACATGAGAAAGATTGCAGGTTGACGTTTGATAGGCAGCCAGTTATAAAACTAACGTCAAAACAATGAAATTAATCGTAGGTTTTTTGTCATGCTTAAGTTTACTCAAACATCTGTTCAAGTAATTATTGAAAGTTAGCCATTCTTTTAGCTAGTTTATTAAAATTATATTGTACGTAAAATATGTGATACCACCAGTAAAGAATATGTTTACAAGAAAAAGTTTAGAAAAGAGTAGAAAAAGACCAAATATATGGTATTGAATTTCAAAGGGTGGGATATTATCAAATACGAAATAATATGTAACTTTTACGAGTTTAAGCATCTAGAAAAGACTATATAAAGTGGATATAGAGTTAACATTAAATAGTTAAAATGCAGAAGCGCTTCAAAAATATTATAAAATGAGAAAACACCATAAAGACATAGGAATTAATTTTATAAAATTGCACTTGCACTAGTGCTGCTATATGGATTTGAGTATTGGGTGGCAAAAAATCATTAATATCTAAGCTGAATGTGAGAAAGATGAGAATGATAAGATAGATGCTTAGACTTGAAAGAAAATTTTAAATTTTACAAGATGGTGGTGAGATGGTGGTGAGACCTGCAATGCTTTGTGGCATAGAATGTTGGCCTATAAAAGAGAAGCATAAAACTAAGTTAAGTGTTGCTGAGATGAAAATGCTTGGGTGGATTAGTGGCTTGACATTTAGAGACAAGATGCAAAACAAATGTATCCCTGAAAGAGTTGATGTAGCTTCAGTGGCAAACAAGATTAGAGAGAGTCATCTTAGATGGTTTGGTCACATTAAGCATCGACCATCTAATGATCCGGTTAGAAGAGTAAATGTTTTAGATCGGTTTATGTTAAGAAAAGCAGAGGTAGACCTAAAAAGACTTGGGCATATTGTATAAAAAATGATCTTAATTTACAAGAATTAAATGAAAATATGATACTAAGCAAAGACACGATGGAGAAAAATGATTCATGTAGCAGGCCCCACTTAGTGGGATAAAGATTTTTTATTGTTGTTGTTGTTGTTGAATAAATGATATTTCTTGAAAGCGAGGTAATTAAAAATATAGCTAGGTAATTTTACATGTATAATAATAGGGGAAAAATGCACCAATTAAACAAATAAAATTAGCATGGGTCAGACATCCGAAGCAGTAAACCAAGGATATTATGGCTATAAGTTGTTAAAATTGATTTATGAAGAATATAATAGATTTAACACCTGAAGCAAAACTTGAATGAATGAAGATTTATGATTTAAGATGACATACCAAAATAGTTGAGAAAAGATCAATAATGATGATGAGAAGATGTTTTAAGGAAATTGTAGACATACTTCAAACCTCTTCTCACATTGGAAACCATTATCGTAATGGTAGCATGAATAAAAACTGAAAATGAACATTCTAAAAATTACATGAGTTGGATGTTCGTCTATGTTGGTACTTAGATTTCGATATATGTATGAGAGTTATGCAAAATGTGATTAAGAAAATATTTTGAGAAGCAGAGAATGAGATGAAGGGAAAACATAGAGAAAAGTTTAAAAAGAGAGCATGAAACTATATGAAAGAAAAAAATTTGTTTCCACTTGTATTCACTCAATAAGGCTTGTTACACTTCGAACTCAAGGCAATGTGTTAATTTACCTACTAATTGCTCTCTCAAGATTAACTAGGGTTCTATGGTGGTTAAAGAGCCCTAAAATTGATGTATTGGGTATTTATAGAAATGGTCAAACCTTTTAATACAGAGGTCGAAATGAAATCATTTGACACTTCTTGTAACGACTCGATTGCTTCACATCCTTACTCATACCAATGTAGCAAACAATCATGAGGCATGCCTTATTTAATAGTCATTATAGAGGTGTCAAATAAGGGTAACCATGCAGTGCTTACTGAATGGTGGCAAGGAGAAGTGAATATCAATTAGCTATTATCAAGGTGGAAGTAGGAATGCTTCTTTGCGGAGATGTAATGATGTATAAATCATTGAAAGGTAGGCAGACATTTCCCAAATTATGATTTCAGGAACTAATGATGAATTGTTGTCATAGTGGTTTTCATTGCTAGAATTTGAGTCAATAATTGTGTGGTTATCTTGAAAATTTTGAATTAAACTCTTGCAATCATCTTCTTCATATAATAACGTGAAGATATGTTATAGACCTCTTTTTGAAACTCCTTTAAATTAATCTCGACCTCCTAGAGCACATTGAACACCAGCAAGATTTTGTTTGCACAACTTGACTGTATGTTAAGATGAATACATTAAAACAAAAAATGATCCCCAAAGTGGTTTGTTTCCTTGCACTAAAGATTGTAATCACACAAACTCACAATGCAATACACCATGAAAATGGCATCGATCCACTAAATAAACTCCAATAGTCCTGCCTTCAACTTATGCTTTTCCTTTATTCTTGAACTCAGCAATAATCAAGAAGCAATCAACCGTCTACCTTTGGCAAAGATCATTCCGCTACCCTAATCAGTTTCTCATGGCCTTCTTCATATCCTACCAACCTCTCGCAACAATGCCCGTCATCTCTCTGCCTTAGTTATCTTCTCTTATTAACATGTTGGGTCTTTTATCTATTTAACATGTTGGGTCTTTTATCTATTTAATGTATTTATTTTTCTAAACAGAAAATAGCCTTTATCATTTAAAGTAAATGTTGCCTGCTTGCATATACAAGGTAAATTGAACCTTTTAATTCGTCCACCTAGCAAATAAATAAATTTAATAATCAAAATCAAAATGAATCGTTTTCATGAGAAATTTAAACAATCATAAAACCTTATCCAATTTAAAATTGGATTCTCTTAATTTTCATAATAGTTTCATTTTATTTTTTTGGCCTTTCGACCATTTTGAATTTTAACATCATGCATAAATTTACCAAACAAATAAAATAAATTTTAGAGTTCAAAAAAGCATCTCGATCATAGACCTACCAAATACTATCAACAACATTAATTGTAGCAACTAATCGCCATTGCTTTTCTAGCAATATTTTGCCAACTAACATTTTAGCAAGAATAGTCCACCCAAACAAATCCTCAAGAGAGTAGAGTTACAAATTGCGCTTTGGTGACATATACCAACCCCTAGGATGCCTTAATTGGGAGAAGCAGCAAATCTTTCATCGATGTCTAACTAATCTTTCTTCCATTAATAATCTTAATGAGTGAACCAAATGATGGACGGCATAATATGTCGATGATGCCTAATGCATCATGAATAGAAGTCCAAATATGCAACTGTAGTTCCTTCTTGATGGATGTGATTGTATTAAAAATTTAGTACAAATCCTATACATATCGTAATTTCTTCCATGAAAATGTTCTCTGACTTTCCTAACTAAAGTTTGATAATCCATGCATAAACTGTAATTGAAATCTCGTACAAAGCACAACAACCCGGTTAAGATAATTTGAACAGCTGTGGAAAATAGTTTGTGGTTATATAATAAAAGTATTTGATCCTCTCATTTCATGGGTTTAGTGTGCTTCTAATAACCTCCATTCTCACAAAAAAAAAAAAAAAAAAAAAAAAAAAAACACTTTATGACCATACATAAGGAATGTTATAGAAACAAATAATGGATCTATCCTATTAAACACACCATGAATTCTTTAGCATATAAGTTGACTTGATCATGATGGTGATGGGGAAGCTATAAGAAATGAAGAGAAATTTCTGGCTCTTGGAGTTACATTGATGAAAACCACACAACTAGGTGTGGATTTCTAAGCCAAATGTCTCAATACATTACGTCAATTCCCACAAAAGATTTTGGAGAAGTAGTAATTTCATCAAATGAAGTGCTGCTTCTTCATTTATTGGCTTCCCTATATTTTTGGCAGCAAGCATTGTGTATAATAGTGAATCCAAGATCCACAAATTAATGCCTGTTAACTCTAAGCTAACAGCCCTCGTCTTATTTCCAATAGCTTTTCACGTTTTCTAATAAGATTAAGTTGGGAAACAAGCTTGTCAAATTATTTTGTTTTGTACTTCTATTTAATTTAATTTTGTTGTTTGGCAATTTAATCCATAGAACCAAATACTGCATTATGTAGGCTTGAATGTGGGTTGTATTTCAAAATAATTTCCGGTTGTATTATTTTTAAGGATTTCAATTTGAGCTGGCTCATACTAATACATGTTCCATTTTTAAATCAAGTTCAAATTGAGCATAACCAAATACTCCTAAGCTTGTATGCAGGTCAGCTTCCTCAAACTAGAGTATCAATCCTAAGCACCTCTTATCCTCATGCTTAAGAGTGACCTCATGACTACCTTGAGGTCCAATAAAGATAGGTTTGCCAATTGTATAGTATAATCTCAGGATTTAAACCTCGAATGATTTCCAACATCCTTGATCTTGATATAACAACTGAAAGGGGAAGCTTGATGGGTTATGTGTTCATAGAGAAGAATAGAGGTAAAAGTTTTAACCAAATCAATGAGATCTAAAAGCTAAAACGAATCTACAATGTGATTAAAAAGGCACATAGAAAGGAATTTCAATGCTAAATTCGAGTAAGAAAATTTTGTACAAAGAAAGATGGGGCCATCGAAAACAGAGGTAGCTAGAACGGACTGGTATAGTTTGGTAGGATTGTTTTCAACAAAATGTCATCTCTCCATGTATACCTATTAACAAGGTTCATGTGAACATCTCCTCAACAAGAACTTCAAACATTTTAAGAAACTTTATGCTGGAGAGTCTATCGTCCATGATAACATTATTCAACTAAAGCATTGTGATAAAAGAAAGACCTTTCTTCCTCTAAACAAGCTGGCTCTTTAAAAAACTAAATTGAAATTTGATCCTAAAAGAAGGCTCTCGAATTACAAGTCAGGATCCTAAAAGTCGTTCATGCCACTAGCAATCATTATAAAGATAGAACTTTGTTTGCCTTGAAGCTACCAACCAGATTAAAACCTTAGTTCTTCTGATCTCCTTCCTCCACATGGAACTAACAAAGGACAATTGAATCCTAACTGTCAAAAAAACTCATCCAAACCGTTAAATATTGCATCATGTAAAAAAAAGGACATCAATGAGTGCTCCAACCTACTTCAAGGCAGATCTAGGCAATGAGCAGGGAAAGGCAGGATGGGGCGAGACAAATAAGACCTATTCTTTAACCCAACCTAGATGAAAATGATTACGCTTCTTTGAACCCGGACATGTTTTGGTTAAATCAAACTAGAATGAATCCTTCATGTGTATGAATCATGCATTCTTATTGACATCTCCGCCACAAAAGAAATTTAAAAATAAAACTAAAAGAGAGGTCGTAATTATTAGGCATCCCTTCAAAAGGCCGTATTCTAAGGATAATTTACCTAGAATGTTAACTTACAAAAGATGGCTCCTTCAAAGAGACTTAGAAGAAGAGAAAGAGATGGCAAAAATGCAATGCCAACTGGCGGAGGTGCAAAACCTTTACATTTATTTTAGGCTTATGCTTAGAGACTACATTTTGTATCAATAAAGGTAATCCATATGCTTGCTTGTATTTGTAGAAAATGACCACTAAAACTATTAACATCTTGCTTCTTTAAAGCTTGCATTGAGGATGCCCATCAAAATTCTACTCTCTATTAGTAGTTGCAATATCAAACCTATGCTACTAAGCTTTTAAATCATTTTTAAGTGATTATTAAGAGTTATAATATAACAAATAGAAATCGCTATCATTTTATAAACCTAATTTTAAATAGGTGCTTTAGCCAAAAAAATTTTAAATAGGTGCTTTAGCCAAAAAAAAAAAAATCATATTTCTCTTCCTTCAAACAAAGAATAATTTTGGGCAATCCTCTTAGAAGTGCAAGCATAATTATTAGCGCCAAATTCAATCATAAAGCTTGTGTCTTTCATGATAAGAAAAAGATAGGATCAAATAACAAAGGTTGCTCTCTTTAATAACGCATAAATAACATCATCTACCATCCATTGAAGCGAAGTGGGCCTGAGTCACTAGTTTGTACCCGTTTGAAATCCAAATTACTTAGCTATATGTGTGGGATGAAGAAGAGATTGCTACTTCACAAGATCGACCCATACTTAAGGATCATTAATCAGTGAGCATTATGTTCATCGAAAATAATTAAATGAAACAATAATACCAAAGAATAACATACAACAACAATTATAGAATATATAAATGATTTGTCAGATTAGAGCGCTAATAGTAACTTTCCTTCAAACTACCCTTCTGTAGTACTTTTAACTATTTAATTTCACAATAATTAACGAAACTTAAACGATTTCTTCTCACAGTGCTTTATGACACTACATATCCTTGATACATTTACCCACTTAATGCTCTATAATTGGAAACAGTATAAAAAGCTAGATCTAATAGCCTACTCAAATATTATATTGAATTCTCTGTAGTGAAGGGTCTCTTCTATTACTTCACACGAGCTTTAAGTTTGAAGTCTTAACATGTCAAACTTAAGTACAAAAAAAAAGTGGCAAATTCAAACAAAAATAAAAATCCTTGCAAATTCACACAAATAACACATTAGGAAAGAAAAAAAAACACAACATGAATGATAGTAAACATATGATATTAATATTTTTTATATTTTCATAACCAAAATAGAAAATGCCAAAAAAAATTTGACATTGCAAAAAATATGATAAAAATTTAAGTTAGACATGCAGTCACACACCGCAAAAATCTCATTATGAGACTTAAAAATTGCAAATTTATTCTTAAAGTATATTGGATTATCAAGTAATTAGATTGTTCAGAAAAATTTGCTATCGTAAGATTAAACCTATCACAAAATATATTTCAATAAAAAACTGAAATCCAAATATCCTAGCACTAGGAAAACTTGTTCTTTATTGTGCTTCCATTCTTACACCATATCTCTATACTAACTTAAATTATAAGATAGTTGAAAAAATTTTAAAATTTTCAAGCAATTGAAGCATCAGAAAAGGCCTTTATTCCCTTCAAGAACTTTCATTCATTTGAAAAGTAAGATGATAAAAAATTGAAACGTGAAGAGAAATATTGATGATATTTATCATAAAAAATAAGAAAGGATAACATTGATATAGGAGGAGAGGATAATAGGTATGGCAAACCAACATTCTCCTTGACCGCTCGAATGATCTTGAGCCGAAGTGTGTCAAAGTCACCATCATCCTTAATTTTCTTCACAACATCCTCTCTTGTTGGTAGCCGCCTCTCCTCCATGTTGATTTGGATAAAATTGCTAACCTAGTCAAAGAAATCGAGAACATCCATATATTAAAGGGAAAAAAGACAACAGTAAATTTTCAATCTTATTTTTCATACATCAAACGATTTCAAAACATAAAATTTGACTTATATTTTCTAAGGTATTATGAAATGGACACAATAATAAAAAAGTAATATAAATAACACTAACAAATTAGAAAGTTTTGTAAATGTTGACCAAAGAATGTTTGAAAAATAATTTAAAAAAGAAATCATGCCTATTTATTCAGGACATCTTTGGTTTACGAGTTAGTCGAATAGCTAACCAAAATATCCTGAAAATTCAAGACAACGCTCTTAACTCACCTTCCTCGCTTTTAGCCACAAGCCCTAATGGAAGTCTGGTGTTGGCCTTCGTTTCCTTAAAGTTTGGTGATCGGAATAGGCTTAAGCAAAGGTGGTTGACCAAATAGGGGATGAAGAAAGAACTCTGCAGAAGGGCCTAGATGATAAGTTGGAAAAAAAAAACAAAGGAGGGAATAAAATAAAAGAAGATTTTTAAAGAACAGGGAAGGTGAATTGAGTCTAATCAACCAATGATGAAGAGAGAGAAGGGATAGAAGAGTTAAGCCTCAAATATTTATTTCATCCTTCACCAATAATTACATCCTAAGACATCTCTTTATGTAAGAGCATGCTCTATAATAAAAAATAACCATATTATAGTATATGATAAAGGCAACACAACTAATCAAATCATTACTTACATTAGTCTCTTAGTTCGTAAAAACTCCTCTCTTAAAGAGCTAAAAGTAACGACCAATGGAGGAGGAAGCCAAAATAGCTCATTTGTATAACACAGATTTTCATGGCAGTCTGAGTGTAATAGATCTAGAGGTTAAAGCTCAAAAATAAACAAAGTAAAATGCCTTACAATAATCCCAACACAGACAAGACAATATGATGAATCAAGGAATATCATGTGTCAATATGAACAATCTCAGAGAAACGCACTACTAGAGTGACTAGGAGGGTAGGGTCGGTGATCACCTTGGGCAAGAGAGTTACTTAAAAAGGTATGAGATGTCCAACCATATGGGCAAGTTGAGCAGCATAAACCCATTATTATTGCAAGATTAAAGCACCACATGGAGATTACATATAATCATTAACATTTTAAATCTCAAATCATGTAGGTTGATCATAGCTTGGTTAGCCTCTTTATATTAAAATTCAACATGAGCTCAAATTATAAGCTTGCAACTGGAATCACTCCACACCATAAAAGGGCTAAAATCCTAATTTTTATATTCATGCATTTTTGTATTTAGATTATAAAAGGACATCATATAATCTATTTTAATATTGAATAAAATATTAAATTTTGCCTATAAATAATTCCTTTGAAGAAGCTTAGTGAGTGATATAAGAGTTCGGTACTTTGAATAAGTCCAAGGCTTTGCACCCTCCCTCGACCCAAGTGGTCGCGCTCTTCACCTTAATAACCCTAAAAGCATCCTACAAGGCTACAACAATTCCCAAAGCCTAACCTATACATCATCTTCCCTCCATACCCTTGTTAACTACCTCTCGAGTTTACCCTACCAAAAATCCCTACCTTACTTCTACCATTTCCATAGGCCTTAACCCTCTCTAGATCAAGCATTATGAAAAAAAAAAAACCCTATTCAAGCCCGCATCACCTACAATCCCCACAGAATAATTCCCTCTTCCATACTAGCTCTCTTCCTCTACACAAAACACCAAAAAACCTAACCCCAATCGCACCAAACCCTTTCCAAGCCTTACCCACATCCACTACATACCACCAACAAGCAAAGAAGGATTTCATCCCAGGATCCTCCCACTACCATTTCATAAAATTTGGTATCATAGCTACGTCTCCAAGGATGCCCACAAACAAGAATCTAAGGAGTTTAAAAGGCGTCGCAATAAGAGGAGCAACCACAACAACAATTAGGATATCTTCCATTGGCATCAAGTGTTGATGTCGTCTCCACTTGTGAGCAACCTGCAACCCTCGCTTTTAATCCTTTGCATTGGTAGATTAATCTTTGAATAGAGATATAGAACTTTTGGCATGTCACTTGGCAAATTTTTGATTTAATGCATAATCTCCAAGTAGTTTGCACCACTTAAAAGATAGTCAATCCTACAATAAAGCCTATCCAGCCACTGATATTTGAGAGCTATATGTTTGTAAGGTGTGATGAAAAAAAAAAAGGCTTTATCGGCTGTTGAATGTGCTTTAAAAGGAACTAAAATTATATTTTTTTAAACTTGCTTTTATGCATGTTTATTTAGTTTATAGAAATTAGTAGTTCAACAAGTGCTTGATGATCCTAAAATATTTATTTATACACTTGCATTAGCATCTTTTGAAAAATACAATAAAATATTGCATTAGCAGATTTTTTTCAGAAAATTAAAAGCACTTCATTTCTTTCTTCTATGCTGTACATCATACCTAACAAATCAACATCTCTAGATCAATTTGAAGAGCAATAAAAAATCAACGATGGTAAATATGAAAGCCCGCAAAACTCTTTTGGCGGCTTAAGAAATAATAATGGAAAATATGGAAATCATTGAAAAACTTAACACCAAGAAAGTAAACCCTACATGATGCACACAACGAATACTAACTACTCTCATCATAGAGATGAAAATTTTAGGAAAATAACTATCTAGAGACATTAAGCTGGACAAAATTTTTGGGTATATCAAAAAACTAAAAGCACTTCATTGCATTCTTCTATGTTGCACATCATACCTAACAAATCAACATCTCTAGATCAATTTGAAGAGCATTTAATAATCAACAATGGTAAATTTTAAAGCCCGCAAAACTCTTTCAGCGACTTGAAGAATGATAATGGAAGAAATGGAAATCAGTTGCAAAACTTAACGCCAAGGAAATAAACCTTGCATGATGCACACAAGGATTCTAACCATCCTCACCATAAAGGTGAAAAATTTAGAAAAATGAAGACCGCAACCTAGAAAAATTTTTAGGGCTTATAATACGAATAAAACAAAGCTTTTCCATTTGATGGTGTTCATAACTCAATAATTATTAGTTTGGGCCCCCGAGATGGAGGAACTTTTATTGGATAGCAAGTATTAGTATCAAAGAACTGATTTTGCTAAACAAAAACTAATAAGATATGCTAAGATATGTAATGGTTGAAATACATTAATTTGGGTAAAAAATATATATAATAAAATAAAAAATTATCCAAGATATCACGAGAAGTAACTCTGAGGCCATCCCCTCACATTTAAAAAATGTACAATGAAGGGTGCTAATTATCTAAATACATTTGAGGATATGTTAGAGCAAACAGTGTTGAGCAAGATACTGGTAACGAACTTGTGATTGGACATAGGCAAAAAATTAAGGATGAGTTTTAGCTTTCAAATCCTTTGACCATAGAGGATATACTCCACATAGGGCTGTCAATTTTGCTCGTTGCTCGTGAACAGCTCGTGTTCGGCTCGTTCGTTAAGCCTAACGAGCCGACAAGAAAAAATTTTTAAAGCTCAAAATGAAAAGGAGCCGAAAACGAACCAGTTTGTTCGCTCGTGTTCGGCTCGAAATGGCTCGAGAAAAAAAATTATATAACATTTTAGATAACAATATATTATATATATTATTTATATAATAATATATTATATATATTTATGTCTAAGTTTAAATCATAACACTTCATGTGACAATGTGGTTAGTGTCTTTTTTTGTATAGATTTGATCGAGGTTCGAATCTCACACTTTACATCTATTTTTCTCAATTTTAGTTTAACGAACCAATTTCGAGCCGAACACGAGCTGAACACGAACACAAATATTTAAATCGAGTCGAACATGAACACACTGTTCACGAGCAAATTTCGAACACGAGCCGATTTCGAACAAGAGCTATTTCAAACGAGCCGAACACGAGTCAAGCCTGAGCTCGCTCAAGCTCAGCTCGTTCACAGCCCTAACTCCACATGCTCTCTTGATATAAATATAGAATAATTGTTGCCAAATTCAAAATCTAAAAAACAAGTCATATGTATCAGCACTCCTAAGTACTACTAATAGACCTAAGCATCTTTTTTTGCCTACATTGCAGTTCCCACCCTAAAATTCTCACTAAAGCATCCCCTGGAAACACTATAGGATTGCTATTTTGAGAGCCATAAGAAAGGTATTATGCAATGTAAGTGTATGAAAAAAAAAATACTCTTCTTACATGAGATTGAGACTCCTGAGCTTGATGATTTAAAAAAACTTAGAGACTATACACCTTTTATTTTATCATGATATTATTAGTACACCTTTAGCTACATTAAGATATCTTTTTGCTTCAAAATCTGATTTTGAAGATTGGAGGAATAAGAAAATTTTTCAAAATGCATACCACATATAAAAAAAGGCGATTTAATGAAATAAAAGTCTGGATTACTTATTAAAGGCGACAGTACAATGAATGCCATATATACTCTAGCACACATTAGGGCAAGCCTGCACTTGAAGCGCATCATAGAGCATTCCATATTAGCTGGGTAAATAACACGTCATTGCTTGTGATCGCTAGATGCCTAGTTCAACCTTGACTATAAGGCATAGATGTTATCCACTATAATCAAGACAATACTTGCGTATTCAAAGTCTCCAACCATAAGAAAAAAGCACAAATTCAATTGTTTGTGATCGACTCGCATGTTGATTCCCCTCCGCCTTAGACATTCAAGTGTTCATATCCCCCCATCTACCTCAGACACCTATTCTAGTGATCTTGGTCCTCCATTTATCTTAAACACTTATCATGATAGCCCTAGCCCATCCATTTTGATAAGCATGTCATTACGAAGAAGGATCGAGCTAATTGATATACTCTCTAATGATCTGTGAACGAAGACTTTTCTTTCTGTAAATAATAAAGAACTTGTTTTTCACTCAGATACATATACACGTTATTGTTGTAAACTGTTATCCTAACTACTAACTCATCCCCTAGTGACATGGGTGAGTCCTCCCTTCAAAAAGAATGATACATATTTGTCTCATAAGATACATATAACTCTTGTGAGTTCCATGAGTTAAAAGATGAGTTACTGTCAATAAATGATATAATCCCCCTTAGAAATGACTTTAAGATCACCATTATTAAATATCCAATGCAAGCGCTAAGCAATTAAAGTTACACGATGACATGATTTATTTTTTTGACATCCTATCTAGTTGATATGACATATCATTCATTGTACGCACTGTATTTTTATTAGCCCTTCATTTTCATATTTTTCATTCACCTAAGTTACAACAAGTTGACATGCATATTGATAATTTTGTTTAAGCTATTTTTAAAATTTACTAAAATAATAGTGATTATCTTGAATTTACATCAATCCCATCTGACTAAAACCATCATAAAAAACACCCCTACATAAAAGTTTTGAATTAATTACTTATTTTCTCATTTTATCTCACAGTAAGTTTTTTACTCAAAATTTTCTTTTCCCCCCTCCCTCCCTCCCTCTATTTTGCACCTTCCCTCAATCCTATCCACCAACCTCATCACCTCACCCTAAAATCACCATATAACAATTCCCAAACCATAGCCTAGCCTTCGCTTTCCTCCGTCCATAACAAACCATAGTTAACCATTAGTTTGACCACTTCCAACAAGTTATGGCCATCTACGACCACTTAAAGGTGTTAACCCTCCTCCCTCTTAATCCTAGCATCATACTCCTAATATTAATCCTAAATCCTCGCCAACATCCACTAAATAACACCATCAAATAAAGGAACATTGGCTAGGGGGAAGATGGAGGAGGCCTAGGTGGTTAGTTTTGGATGTAGAGTAGGTGAGGTTCGTGAATAAGAAGAAAAGAAACTAATGTTCCTTATTCAATTGAATTTATCATTAATAAAGATACAACCGTAAGCATTATCCTTTGGGCAACATATATCATATGCTTTTAATTTATCCTTAGCAAAAATACATACCTTATAGTCAATGAATGGCACCTCATCACCATCCTTTTAGATAGCTATTTGATTTGTAAGATGTGTTATGCATGGATGTTGTCATTATCCTGTTGGGAAAACATCATTCTCTGACATAGATATTACCCACTATAAGTAGGACAGCTTGTATATCTTCAGATTTAAGAGTGTCTAAATTTGTCTATTTTCATCTTATTTGCCTAAATTTCATCGAAGCTCCTATTCCCATTACGTTAAATGCCTACTTCTCACGTAATTTCCAAACCCAATGTATCATTACTAAAGTTATTGCACAAATTTTAACTAGTCAACACCATCCTTAAAATTTTGCAAAACATAACAAAGATTTGCATAAATGATGTGTAGCCTAAATGTTTGATCTATGCCAACAATGGAGAGCTAAACATGTCTCAATGAACCCATCAAGCTCACTAGCTTCGATGGAAACTTTTAGATCTAACACCAAGTGCTCATTGACAATGCTCATATATCCGTAATAAACATAATTGTTTTACATAACAATTGATACAAATCAAAATGAATAACACCTTAGGCAACATTACTTCTAGCATACCATCAACATGTTCATTAAGAATGCAACATATTATTAACAAGCGAGTTTCTGGCATGCTTGTCAATAATTATCATACTTTTTATGCAAAACATCGAGAATAGAGCATTAAAATTTAAGTTGCTATCAAGATATCAATAATTTAGCCGACATAAAAACTACTACAATTTAAGCAAACAAACCACATGCATCAACAAATATTATTAGTAGAATTAAGCTTGGACTACCTGCCTTAAATTTCAATTAGAACACAGATTGTCAACCCACTATTTCGCCTCCTTAGACATCAAAAAACCCTGATGACAAACATTCTAGGTCAACTTTCACTTCAAAGCATACATATCAATAATTAAGAATCCTTCATATACCTAATTATACAAACTAGGTGATAATCAATGTGTTTTTTTTTAGCACTTCAATATTTTTGATATAATATAGAAGTGTAACTTAACCCACTGACTTTGCACAGTAAGATTTTTCCTCTACAAAGGTCGCAATTTCATAAGTAAAATAACAAATGTACACAGAGCACCATAAAATATCCCAAGTCATTCACATACATTCATAGATCCCCAAACCTTACTCACAAAGAAGGGAAGTTTTGAATGGAGTAAAACATATATCCAAGAAGGTTTCGCCGGAGGATCAGGTCAGTAGCCGCCAATCTTGACAAAAGAGGAAGAAACAGATGAATATAAAAGATTAGTTCCAGTGAATCATCACCTTCTTGCTCGGTCACTCCTACCGCTCTCCTGTTACCACCGGAATCCAGGCCGCGCTTTGCCTTTGCCTGCTGCCTCTCTCTCGCTCTCCAACCTCCTTTACATATTTATCGTTTTATTATTATGAGTAATATCTGATAATTCAATAAAAAAAAGGAAAATTTGCATGAATAACACACAATTCCTATGTATTTACATATATAACATCTAAAGTTTAATATTTACATCTATAACACCATAGTATCATAAACTAATACATGAAAATGTGCATTTTACCTTTAAAAATATAAGGACAGTTGAATTTTGGATTTATTGTTACATATTTGAGTGACATGAAAGTTAATATGAATATTAAGGTGTTAGACATGTAAATACAAAAGAAGTGTGTGGTATGCATGTAAATTCCCCTAAAAAGTTATAATATGTGTTAGTCATTTTACTACGCCAAATAAATATTGAGATTGAAAGCTTGATAAAGTCATCGTTATTTGATAATATGAAATTTGTATCTTATAATGATTCTAATATGTTTGGCTAATTTAATTTCTTATTTCTTATAAGAGGTTTAGAGGTTGCAAATTTGTGGCTCGCAAAGCACTTTGACATATTTTTAGTAATGATCGTTTCAATGATCATTTTCATTTGAATCCCTGAGCCTGTGTAAATTCAATCATGGTTATATTAAGGGTATGTTTGGCACGGCAGTGTAGTTTTGTTTGATTAGATAAACTACGTTTTGACAGCTTTTTCAAAAATTTGTTGGTGTGTGTTTTCCCACCGATCATGGCTAGGTGTGACGGCAGTGTTCTAGCTGCAGTCTGACTTATTTTTAAAAAAAATGTAATAGCCGTCGCAGCTTTTTGAATATCAAATTATTTTTCTACAGTTTCACAGCTGTTTTTAAATACCTTGCAGCTGCCCCAAAAAAACCCTAAAACTAATACTAATGGATATGTCTATAATATAAATAGTGGATTTGGTGCGTTAAATCTTAGGGATTATATGGGTGAGCTTGCTATTGTTTTAGCTAACTCTTTCTCGATATGAGTTTTCGAATCACATTGGCCTCTATTTCAATTCATTTAAGTTTTTTTAGAGGCTAGCAAACATGACTCTTGAATAGAGCTAATGATTGAAAAACTCCAAACTCTTCTGAATAAGCATGCATAGGAGATTATTCAACATCCTCTAAATATTAAAACAACAAATGCAAATGAATTTACTCTATCAAAAACACTCTAATAATATTCTTGCTCATTATAAAACATTGTTGATTATTCTTGGTGATAATAAAAATATGTTGTTTATTATTAGAGATGTTTTCCCTATAATAAAAATATCCATAGTACAAATGATTACCACCATGTTTACATCATATGGATGGTCATTTCAACGAATGGTTATAAAAAATTTTTTTTCATGCATATCTCAAGAAATAATTGTAAATTAAACTCTCATTTGAAAAAATGCAAATTGAAGTGTTGAATATATGGTTTGAAGTAGGCTCTCAGTCTATACTTTGATAAATTTTGATTACTCTGCTCTATATCTATATAACAAATCCAATGGAATTGTCATTCTTCTAATTTATGTTGATAACATCATTATAATTGGGTCAAGTTTGACTCTGATTAATCCACTTTAGTAACACCTTTAAGCCATAGTTCATATGAATAATTTATGAGTCCTCGCTTACTTCTTAGGAAATATACACAACTCCTTTGGTACATTTTTAAATCAACACAAGTATACATAGAATCCAATTTCTTTGTCAAACCTTTAAGATGATTTCCTTATAGATACTCCATTAAAAGAAAACAAAAAGCATCATAGTGAGAAAGGATATGCACTTCCTGATTCCACCACATATAGATAATTAGTATTTAGACTAAACTAGTTGACTATTGTTTGGTTGGATATTTCCTTGGATTCAGAATGTAATTTAAGCAAAATTCTCATCACTAGTAATTGTATGTTGTTCATTTAATAATTTGAAATCTTATTAAGACACCTTGTCACGTTGTGTATTTTTATAATTATTGTTTTCAATTGTTGAGATATGATATGTGGATTAAGTATGGTGTTATGATATTAGTAGATAAGTGAGAAGATAGTATATATTCCTTGATGTTTATTTAATCTTATAGAAGAGTGAGAAAATTCATGTGCATATAAACCATTTACAAAATTTGAAGATCATGCAATATCAATAGCATGATAAAAAATTATATTGTTATGTAGATGCTATTAAACTTGATTGTCCTCAGGAGGATCTCATTCATCTATATGTTGATAATAATAGTATCATCTAAATGATACCAAGCTGATATACCATGAAAGACAAAATATTGTAGTTTATTATTACTTAATTAATATAACTCTAGATACTCATATTATTTCTTGTCCTTAAACTTCTACAAACTTTCAAATTATAAAATTATTTATGAAAGTGTTGTTTGGATAAATATCTACTTCTTAAATGTAAATTATTACTTCTTGACCAACTATCATATATTTAATAGAATATATCATCATATGTAATCAATTGAAAAATAATGTATAAGGATTATGACTATATTAATTAGCTTGTTACATGCCACCTCATTAATTCATATGTACAAATTTATTATGATTAATTACATAACTAAATATAATTTTTGATTATGTATAGTTCATTTTATAAAAGTCTAAAAAAGAAATAAATTCAAACATTTTTTTTATTATTTTTTAAACTTCACCTACATACAAGCTATGACAGTACAATAATTTATCTCAGTCGTTTTCCTATAACTGAATTCAACTCTACACTTTGATCACCTTCTCTTATAACTAATTTTTATACATTTGCGTCTATAAATAGTGACTCTTATGTAATCAGAAGGATAAGAAAAATTATAGAGGAAAGGTGCCTTGAGTAGAATTCTCTATTTATACTCTCTTTATGGTATCAAACCTACATCCCAATGGTAATCTTTAGAAGCTTCTTCCTTCTTTTTTTTCATAGTTATGTCTGCGCAATCATCAAATATAGGATCTCAACAAATGTAAAATGTACCGCTAAAATGGGAGATATTGCAATACCTCTATAGCTAAAGTTTTATTTGAACAACATTAAGGCCAACATTCAAATTCAACTAACTCCTAAACTCACACTACTTGGACATTGAAGATACTAAAGTTGTTTAGGAGATTCAAATGGGTGTCTTAAACTACGGTAAATTGGACATGGTTTGAAAGTGTTCAAGTGGACATCCTACACATACGACGTCAAAAGTGATGCCAAAAACCCGTATGAAAGAAAAAAAAAATCAAGGAATTTAATAGTGGAGTCAATTTTGGCTGATATTATTTAAGGAATTTCGTATCCAATGGTGTGTCCCACCCCACAAAAATTGAGATTTTTTATTAAAGATCAAATGAAATTTGAACAAATTGATCTCGCTATTCTCAACTCAATTTGAACAGAGCTTGAGTTTGAAACTGATTTGAGTTTATTTTGAGTGTGAGCGAAGAGTTGACCGAAAGTGAAGTCAACAGTGACGACCTATCTTTGACTTGCTTGGTCACATTTTTGATCGAGTTTGGTTATCCCAGATAGGTGGGTTTTCTATCTTTGTAGATGGTTTACCCAGGGACTCATCCTCCCAATCCGCTGGCACACCCTTTCATGTACGTGGTGTTTCTGTTTAGTCTGACAAATTGTCTAGGCTTGTGTTGGCTATGTCGCTCGTAAATATGACCTGGCATAAGCTCATTCTATTTTAGTTTCACCTTTTATGGACTTTATGGCGAGGCGTGTACGAAAGTACCGAAGCCTTGTGACTACTTAAGGGTGAGCATATATATGTTTTAAGTTGTTCGACTTATATTTTGCTTGTTATTTCATTTTTGTTGCATGTTTAGTATTTCATCAGTGTTGTGCTTGATGTCCTTTCTAGGACTGAATATGAGTACCCTGAGATTATTTTCGCAATCCTGTGGCACCATATTTCTAACTCAGGGTTGCATTATGCATATATATTATGACTGATTTTATGTTGGATCAAGAGTCTGCATTTGTTGCACTCGCTTGATCGATGTCTTTGTTGCACTTATCCACCTTTGTTGTATTTTTCATATCATTCCTTTAAGGCTTAGCTTCCATGCACTTGATTTGCATGTTGTGCATCTACATGTATTGAGTGTTTTGCTTCATTTGAGTACAATATTCATCTTCCTTCTATAGTGCTAGTTTGCATGTGTCAGCACGTTAGTGGTTGTGCTTCAGCTACCCTTAGTTTGACCTGTTGTTGTAATAGGGAAAGTAGCACCGTCTTCTGTTTATCTAGTCTGGGCTAACCTCTACCACTTGTCGTGACGAGGGCTACTTCATTCAGATGGTCAAGAGGGGGCTAGCTTGGTGACCCTGCAATGCATGTCTTATACTTTGATGTTGGTTAGGCAACACTTTGTAGTTGTTGTTTAGAACTAGGGCTACGATGTATTTAGAGATTTTTATACATTTGTTCATTGTTTTGTGATAGTTTTTGCATACTTTGAGTGTTTTGCATGCTTTGTTAAGTGTGAGACTAGGTGTTGTATCCAAAAGGGAGGAGCTTATTTATGATTTTGATAAATATATTTTTATAGGCAATGCTTAGCTCTCCTCCCATCGATACAATATTTTAACAAATTGTGTGATATAGCACGTGCTAACCTTTATATTGCAGGTTGAGTCTTATTTTTCACTTTATTATGTACTTTTAGAACCCCCTAAAAGAGTTTATACTAGAAATAAGGTACGAGCACGAGTCTCAGAGCTTTGTGCAGAGGCCATGTGGAGAGAAGTAAGACTTGTTTGCTTGTGCCTCATCATGTTGAATATATCCAACCTATTTTTTCCTTCCAAAATGCTCCTTCATAATCCCCTAAACTACTATAAGAGAATACATGTACTCTCCACGTCTTACATCTGTTTTTGCTTCAACGTCTTCCTCATCACGATGCATTTGTTTATGTTTCAACATCTTCCTCGCCACCACAATTCTCATTATCAGTTTCCTTGGTATTTAGATCACAACAACTTTTACCTTACATCTAAGTCAATTTAACTTTACATA